GTTATAATCCCGAGGATGGTTCGGAGGAGATTGGGGGTTAATTGAGGTAAAGCAATCTCGAGAGCCGCCAAGAATCGAACTAGGGCTTCGGGAAGGGGGAAGGTCAATCCGCAGCCCTTGAAGTAAATTTCGTAAACACAAAAGTAGCCGTCACGGTGGTTCTCCGGGGATTCCGTAGGATCGGCTATTTGCGCCTCCGCTATGATTCCAGGAGGAATTTGACAGAGCCCCTTTAATCGCTCAAGGGACTGAAGAGTACAGGTGGATTTGTAATGAGGACCGGCAATATCGTTAGGACCAGTGCATTCATCATTACTAGAGCGCCTCTCATCGTAAGACGGAGATTCAGGTCTCTCAGAATCGGAAGTCATCGGAGAAAAATGAAAAATTCAAGATCCGGCGAAGAGAGGTTCGGTGAAGAAAAGTAGAGAGAGGTTTTGATTAAAGCACAAAAGTAAAAGAAGAAAGTAATGGTGAAAAGAAGTTACCTCAAGCTAATGATGAAACCGCCTCGGAAGTTGTGTGGGAAGTGGGAAGGTTTTTTCCCGTTTTAATAGTAATTAATCAATATACGGTCATAATGATGACAGATGTCACTCGGTTAAAAATGGCTATTGCCGAAATTAAAGGAGTGATGAGATTTTCGGCGGGAAATCAGAAAGATTCTCGAGCGCAATCTTTGGCCACTTGAGCATTTAAAGTCCTCCGAATTGGAATAGCACTTCGAAGAACTTGGGGGGCTAATTGTTGGTGTCGGATCCCGCACCAGAAGTCCGAGACCAACCAAAGATTGCCACGTAGTCAAGATAATGGCCCATAAAGGATAAAGCCCATTGGACCCGTGAGCCGAAGGAACGGTCGAAGTGGTGATAACCACTTCGAGAGTCCGAAGTGACTGCTCTTCGACATGAGTTCGGTGTAGAAGACACGGGTAAGACGGTTCATGGACACTTGGGCCAAAAGGCGAGGCCCATGAAGATCAGAGTCAACTCAAATTCAAACATTGAGCATTAAAGTAAAAGAATCAAAACGGACACATTTAAGAGGGAATAATTGTACTTAATTATTCATTTTAATGTCGATTCTCTATGTATAAATATAAAGACCAATCGCCATGTAAAGGGGATCTTCCTCTCAAGAAGGAAATACTATAGCAATTTTCGTAGCAATTTATAAGTTTTTACATATTCATTTTTGTCCCTCAAGAATAATCTTTCCTACTTAATAAAATACTTGAGTGTGTGAATCCGACATCCACACATTCTTTCCCACCATATCTTTTTCTTCTTTTCTACTAGACGCTCTCTCCAACTGTCAACAATGATATCAATATGCCCTAGGCAATCATCAACATTATCTTCAATGATTCCAGCCAACAGAGATTTCTCATATTGGTCTGGTACAAAGATGCTGTCAATATCCTGTGAATACACATACATTTAACTTAGACTCTTGATCAAATACATGACACAAACCGAATAATCAAATGAAGACAGAAACTCTAACCTTGCTAGTCCCAAGCTCTTGATATATTTCTTCCAAAGGGATACCTTTCATGGCAGATTCTTTAAACTTGTGCTTGCACATCCTTGGACAGTCATTTGCTGCATGTACATGTACTCTATATTTCAGTCAAAGATGTGGAATAGACTCATAAGCCAAAATCTACAAAATAACACACAGTTAATATCATAAAACCATATATACAACTTCAAATACTCAGACATCAAAAATAAAGGCTTACCTCCAGAGGTACAATGAATCCACTAAAGCTAGGTTGAGCTTTAGGTTTGACAGACCCATTCAAATTCTTCATCATATTCCGGATCCCTTTCATACATTCTAAGAATGAATACCAGCCCTATGGAAATGTCTCACATGCATCCAAATCATCAACAATCCTTAAGAGAAAGGATTCTATGTTTCCATCACTTTTTGAGCTTGCTTTTACTACCTTGCATAGGAAATACAAGACTAGTAACTTCTTCTTATCAGCTCCTTTCCAACTCTTCTTTTCCTTCAACTTAGCTAATACATCAGATGCCTTTATCTTCTCAGTCCTTTAGAAAATTCTCTTCACAAACTTCTGATTCCTCATTTTCTCATAGTTCTCTGGGTATTCCTTGCAATTAAACCCAGTTAGCAACGCATGCTCTTTGATGGATTAAGTACTACATCAACCACAAACCAGCACTCCCTCTCCATATCTGTCTCAACTGTGCGCATCATAAGCATCCACATGCCTTGAGTCATGTGGTTTGGCTCCTTAGGCATGTGGAATACATGCTTGAACTGAGGGTGACTTCTGAACTATTTTGCTTCCTTTTTAAACTCTCTCTCTATCCACTTCACTGTCTCAATCACATTACACATAGTTCCTATTTTACACCCTTTGGTGTATTCTGGACTATCTAAAAACATCTTCTCTGGCGGCAGTGGCTGGGAATCATCTTCATCATCATCATTACCAGAATCATCATCAGCTGTTATACCAGCAACGTCCTTACTAGCTTCATCATCATCATCCTCTTTACCATCTTTAGCAGCAGCCTCATCCTCTATACCAAAATCCTCTTCAGCCTCTATACCAACATCCTCTTCAGCCTCTATACCATCTTTACCAGTACCAACATCACCATGCTCATCCTCTTCACCAGCATTACTAGCAGCATCATCCTCTTCCTCATATGTATCCTGCATATTCAAAACACAATCGCTAAGTTTAAGTTGTTGAACTACTTATATCAAACACACAATTCAAACATATATATAATCGGGAAAAGTTGAACTAGTTGTATCAAGACACATAAATTCAAACCTATATATTCTCTGATTCAATTATACCAAGAAATAAATTCAAAACTATATATACTCATATTCAAAGACAACCTAATTCAGTAGTTGAACTAGTTGTACCATGAATACCAATAATCTTTTCTCAGACTAATGTATACCTGAGCAGTAATGGTCTCTTCCTCTTCCTCTGATGCATCCACGAGTTCCTCCTCTGCAGCCTCTACTGCTTCAGTACTCAGTTCTATCGGACTCTCATTTCCAAGTTAAATATCGGAATCATCAATTGCTGCTTGTCCTTCAGCATCATCCCTTTCCAACTCGACGGTTTTGTTTGCAGGTTAACTCTCGGAAGCATCAACTGCTGCTTCTTATGTCGGATCAGTTTACATCTCGACGGTTTCACTTACAGGTTTGACCATAGAAGCATCTGGTTATGTCCTTTCTGCAGTTTCTTTTCCAGGTTCGACCGAAGCATCCGCTGGTTCTGCCGGACGCCTCGCCGTTGATTCATACTCCCCTTCGCCGTCTCTTACACGAGCCATTGCAAAATTCCCCAGATTATCGACGGATTTGCGGATTTGGATATGAACATGGAAAAGGGCGATGCGAAATTCGACTTAGAAGGTGAGAATTGAGAAGAAATCGACGATATAGGAGAAGAAATCGAAGAAATCTAACCGAATCGGAGAAGAAATCGGAAATTTAACTAAAGGTTTCGAAATGAAAGAAAGGGGGGAATCGATTCGATTTTCAGAGTGAGAAATAACGAAACGGTTTTGTTTTCTCGTTTTTTACACAGGTGGGCTTCGTCGGATGGGCATCGATCGATAAAATCATTGGGCTTGGGTCGGATACATGGAAACGGGTCGAAGAGATCTGATGTTGGATATTTTCACTGGGTTTTTCGTCTTTTCGTAATAATTGATTTAAAACCTTTTAAATTTTATTCATCAAATAAAATTAAAATATAAGGGTGGCATTCCAGCCTTTTTTTTCTTCAGAAAGTGGCTTTCCAGCTATTGTTTCGTTTTTGTACGATTTAAGCCAACTAACCAAATCGAATGAACTATTAACCAAACCAATCCGAACCGAACTTTCGTTCTGTTAATTTTGTTCTTGTCTAGTGTTAATGTTTGTATTGATTATAGTAAATGGTCATTTCCATATACATTTTATTTAACCTATGTGCATTCAATATAATTTTAATTTTAATTTTAGTTTTAAATCTCTGGAGACAACAACCGTAAAAAAAAAAGAAACAATTTTGGAAATACCAAAATAAATACAAACCAAAACTCCTAAAGCTAAGCTTTTACCAAATTAATCATAATCGTATTCATCGGTTATTTTCCGATCTTACAAATTTTCTTGATGTTAATGGAAACCACAAATCTCACTAAAAAAAATAAATTTAAATTGATCATATCATTAGAGTTTAGTGGATTTTATAACATGTGGATAGATAAATTTTTTTTTAATAAATTTATGAAATTAAAACGTACATTTACTTATTCCGGTTTGATGGATCTTTCTTTCGATGTTTTGGAACCATCTCGACGATATCGGTACAATCGAGATACATTTAACTTACGTCAGATTGAGAGAAATCAACAGCTTATAAGATCTCGACCATATTTGGTCTTGAATTCGGTGGGGAAAAATTAGAAAATTTGCCCAAATATGTGAAAGGTTGTAGATTGAGCGGTTGACAGTCTAAAGAAAATTTGGCAAAGGAAGGAAAGAGAAACTACGACAAAAATTCATCCCAAAATACTTAAATACCAGTCTAGAATGACATCAAGAACACTCCATGAATCAGAGTTGAAGTCGTAGATTTTTTACTCAAAAAGAGCGGTTAAACCCAACCCAATAAATCCCAAAAATTTTGTAGTTGCGAAACGATTTTCTGATCTTCTCTTTGTGGTAATTATATATGGGCTCAATCAACCGGGTTTGTCTTTCATAAACCATAACAATAAACCGTCGCAGTGAAACATTTGAAGTATATTGATTTGATTATCCAAACCGTATAGGCTAACAACTTGACCTTCACGGTTTATACATGATTCAACGTTGTTATAAAGATTGACCCTCAACAAATAAACCTTAAAATCCTTCATCATGACCACAAAAAAAAAAAAAACTCTCTTTATCGACCTTTCGTATGAGCAACATGTACCATACTGGGAGGTGCTTAGGTCGAGTATCAAATCGTTCACTGGCTTTCCTTCGGTGGCTTGGAGGTTTTGGTGCTCTCGCATCGGTTGAGATTGAAGTAGCACAAAACATTACAAACAATAAACAGAGAAAACCAGAAAACGTGGAAAGACAACTATCCGTCTTAGTTCAAATCTCATTAACATTCAAAGTCTCTTTTAGCCGTCGCTTGTCAAAGTCAACGCCAGAATCACTATAGTAAGTGTTGTGATCACTGTGGCACACGCAAACACAGTCATTGTCCGGTTCGAGATGACATTACTCTGCTTCTCCACCCTGGAGCTTAGCTCTATCTCCTCCACAAGTCTCCTTACAGTCTCCATGTCCCCATCCTTTGCAGCGTGAATCAGACTGTTCTGAATCTTCTCTAGTTTCGTCTGCTTTGTTTTTCTCTCGGCTGACCAAATGAAACCCGTCATTTTCCAGAGAAGGATACCAACATAAATCGCCACGATGCAGTCTACTGTGTAATGGTGGCGCTCTCGTATTTCTCTCTGTGCGCTGTGTGCCACGAACAACCATATCATTGCAGAAGAGAAACCTCCATAAGCTTCCTGTTGATAAATTTACCACAGAATGGTTAAGGCGTCATAAGAAATCAGTCCTAATGCATTTAGCTGACAAGTGATGGACTTTTACCGTCCAAGCCATAGCTGTCAGGACAGCTACAAGCATATGACCACTGTACATGAGATCATTACAGCCACCTCCGGCTTTCTTTAGTAGAGCAAACCAAGAAGACCCTTCAGAGTAACTCGGTCTCAAGAACTCACTAAGGAAGCTCATTGAACCCCAATCAGCTCTGTAGTCACCAATGTAACTTCCTGGATCAGCTGTTAATATAAGAAAGAACTAATTAGTAAGCAATAATACCGTAGTAACTGAAGCGAGACTCAATGTTACCGTAAGCTGCATCCCAATGAAGGAGCTGTCTTATAGCAGCAGGGTCATTAGCATAGGGGACATAATATTTCTGAGCCCAACGATGAGGATGAGAAGGTACACTGTTGAACCGGGCTGAAGCACACCAAGGTCTAGCTGAAGGTAATATAGTAGATACAAAGGTAATAGCTCTTAAAAGACGTCCAACTCCCATCGTGAATATGTATCTCGCGCCTAATCCTAAACCTGGAGCTTTCACTGAGTCGAATGCTACCGAGAAACCCAACATTATAAACAGCATAAGAAAATGATGCAATCCAATGATATGAGCTCTCAAGATTTCCACAATTGTCCCGGGAAGGCTCTCGTTTAGTGCAAGTAAGAACCATTGGCCTGTATCAGGAAGTGGAGGCGTTTCCCTATCAAAGATAAAACCATTTATCATTGAATTGCATAACCATTCAAAAACAGATTAATGTAATTTAGTTCAAAGATTCTCAATGAATATTAAGTATATGCAAACTCTAATCAACTTAGAAACAATTTTCAAGACTCCAAATCAAACCATGTACTACTCAAAATCTTATCAAGTCCTGACTAAAGAGTTCAAGAATCAGATCAAGTAGCACCAACGAGCATAAAGATGTAAACTTTGTTCTAATTTAAAGTCAAAGACTCAATCTTTAAGCTAATTTGAAGTAAAAGAATCAATTATTGAGCTAATTAGAAACAGATCTAAAGCTTTACCGGTGCCAATCTAAGCCAAGAACAGCAGTAACAGAGCGAACACAAAGAGCTTCAAAGAGAAGAGCACAGAGCAAGAATACGACAGAACCAAGAAAAGGAATAGCTGCTCGTAGCTCTTTAGACCAGTGTTTATAGAACAGAACACGAGTGACGACGGCGATAGCAAGAACCGACCAAAGAACTGGCATAAGACGAGAATGCCACACTGGTGACACGTAACGCATGTAATCGATTGCCACGTATGACATCGCAGCGATGCCAAGTCCACCTCTAGTCATCGGTGAAGCTGATGGTCACCGGATTTGATGGTGGAGGTAGAAGACGGACAAAGACTGATAAAAAGGAAAGCTTTTTTTTTTGTCTGAAATTTGCAACAAATGCGGAAATTTAATTAACTACTAGAGTTAAAGCTAATTATTTGTGTTTTGTTACAGTTGAACTAATTAACTACTTCCTCCTTTTTGTAATTTAAGAGAGGGTTTATACTTTTATTGTTCATATTACTCTATTTTTACATGTAGTGATTATTTTTTTTTTGAATACCCCTTAATACATTTTTCTTCTTCTTGGTTGGCATTTAACATGATTTTTAAAAAGTTTCTAAACTTGAATATGATGAATGTTAGCATTTTTAACTTTACGATTATATCAATATATCGTTTTCTTTATATTCACACCATTAATGGTAGTGTATTACTTTACTTGTTTAGTTACATGACTTGTTTAAATTTATCTTAAATATATCATATATGTAGCTGTTTAAACTAAATTAGACCATTGGTAAGATAGGAAGATTACCAACGGTAAGAAAACTGATTTTTCATATATTTTTAGTAATTATACTATATTTAATTAATTATTTTTGATTAAACATACATTGAAATCTTCTTTATTTTACTATTAATCTTACCACAAATTTTGACTTATATTCAAATAAGTTCATATAATCCCACACACTTAATTTTATATTTCTGAATAATATGTTACTAATGATCTATTGTGGAGAATCACTAAATGACTGACTAGTTTGTCAATAATAAACTAGTAAATTACTAAAAATCACTTGTTTGTTTCCCAAATCTTGCAAACGTAAAACCAGATGGCCCATGTAATTTCACTCAAAAGGCCTAGGCCTCCAGCTTCACACACCTACACACGTGTCTATTTCGATTTCCATTTTTCCTTTACTCCAATTTCCATTTTTTTGATTATTTCCATATCCTCTATATATACTCAAACCATCAATATCAGATTATGCCACTCGTTGTTTCCTCTCTACGATTCCGATCAAATTAGGGTTTTTTTTTTGCCGTTCGACTTCAGAGATTTTCTGTTGATAATGTTTGTATTGAGAAAACATTCTCTGCAACCCAAATCAAAAAGACGGAAGAGGTCGTCGTCTTCTCGCTTCGTTGATTTCGTCAAGAGATTACAAAACCACGTTACGAGGTTTAAAAAGCGTCTTACTACGCTGCGAGACAAAACAAGAAACAAACTCGCATGTCTCAACGATGAGAAGAAGAAGATGAAGAAGAAGCTTCACCTAGTCCTTGACTTGGACCACACGCTAATCCACACGGTTCTTGTTTCGGACCTTTCTGAACGCGAGAAGTATCTACTGGAAGAAGCTGATTCAAGGCAAGATCTATGGAGATGCAACAAAGACAGTCCCTACGAATTTATCATAAAGCTACGACCTTTTGTTCATGAATTTCTCTTAGAAGCTAACAAGCTATTCACAATGCACGTTTACACAATGGGTAATTCCTGTTACGCTCAGGATGTGTTGAAGTTGATTGATCCGGATAAAGTATACTTTGGAAATCGAGTTATAACCAGAGAAGCAAGTCCTTGTAATAAGACACTTGATCTTCTTGTGGCTGATACACGTAGAGTGGTAATTGTGGATGATACGATTTCTGTTTGGCCTCATCACAAGAGAAACTTGTTGCAGATCACCAAATACATCTATTTTAGAGTCGATGGTACCAAGTGGGATTCGTACGCAGAAGAGAAGAAAGACGAGAGTCGAAAGAGTGGATCATTGGCGAATGTTCTGAAGTTCCTTGAAGATGTTCACAAAAGATTTGAAGAGGATTTAGATTCTAAAGATTTGAGGCTATTGATACCTTATCCTTGTAGACAATGCTGCTTCTGACCGTCAGTAAGTAGATTGACTTCTAATGTAATCTTTTTACACTTATTAGATTATTATTGTATGCTTTTTTCATATATTTGACGAATCTTCAATGAGAATATGTTAAGCATAATTCAACGGCCAATTTTACTTTCAAAAAGTCAATTTGATTTAAAGTTTTTAACAATGTTTACTACTTCTTCTTTTTGTTGTTGTAAAGTTTTTTTACGTTTGTTTCTTTACAAATTGATAAAAACATACATAAGGAAGAAAATAAATTTAGAAAAGTCCAATTTCGTTTTTGGAATTTCCTGTTTTCATCTCCAACATCAAGGTTAAGCAGCTACTCTACTTTACCTTCTTTCTATTGTGGTTAATAGCTTAATTTGTGATGAGAAAACTGCAAGCATCGCTTTGACCTTTACTTTGGTCAACTGCCCAACCAAACAGCCATTAAGGAGATTTTAATTATATCCACTTATACATATACTTGGGCGTATCTTTACCATGTGATAAGTAAACACCATCTTCCCTAGCATCCCAAAAAACCTGCTTCCCATAGTGAGATATAAAACCGCCACCTTCGTATGCCCTAAAATACGAATGATGTACGAAAGTACTTCCCTTCACTAAGTTACAATCGATCGTTGTTCGGACCAAGAGAGTTTGTGATATGTACTGAGTTTTATTCATTGAAGCCTACCACTCAACCCAAGGCACAATGCAAATCTTATATATCGAAAAGATTTGATATATAATGTCTTTTTAAAATATTGAAGGAGAAGATTATGATATATGAACGTTGACTAGTTTTTATTGTTAGTTAGTCATTCAGTTTTTTTTTGTTTTCCTGGCTGATATGCTAATGTATTGGAGCCTACATATCATTGATGCGTATTTTTTTAATGATGAATGCTAATGTATTAAAGCCCGGGAGCTTACTTCCAGCCTGGTGAGACTAAGCCCAAAAACTCTTTAACCCGAATAGTAGGCCTGGGCATAATACCCGGAACCGAATACCCGAACCGAAAAACCCAAAAAATAACCGAACCGAACCCGAACCCGATTTTTAGAATTACCCGAATGGGTCCTAGACCTCACTACCCGAAAAAACCCGAACCGAATCTAATACCCGTGGGTACCCGAATTCAAATGTAAACCTAAAAATATTAGTTATATATATATATATTTGTAATACCTTAAATACCCAAAACTAAAATTATAAATCCAAATAAACTAGATTTTTTTAGTAATTCATATACATTTGGATATATTTGGGATAAAAGTAACCAATGTTATAGTTTTCTTTTAGGTAATTTAAGTATTTTGGTTACATTTGGTTATATTTGGATAAAAAGTAACCAATATATTTTCGGGTAATCGGGTATTTCGGTTAGATTTGGGTATTATATGAGTAAAAAACCCGAACCCGAAATATTTTGGGTATTTTTGGTTATTTTTGCATTTTTACTAAAATAACCGAACCGACCCGAACCCGAACCGAAACCGAACCGAATTTTTAAAATACCCGAATGGTTCTCAACCTCCTACCCGAATAGACCCGATACCCAAAAAAAAAGAACCGAACCCGAATGGGTACCCGAATGCCCACACCTAGGCCTGGGCATTCGGATTTCAAATCGGATTCGGATCGGATATATTCGGATTCGGATAATTCGGCTATGAGAGTTTATTATCCGTTCGGATTTTATGATTTTTCGGTTCGGTTTCGGTTCGGATATATTCGGATTCGGATAATTTGGGTAGGAGAATTTATTATCCGTTCGGATTTTATGAGTCATCGGTTCGGTTTCGGTTCGGATAGGTGTCGGATTCGGATCGGTTTTCGGAAAAAAAAAACTTAAAAATAGGTCAATCTTAATAAAAATTGGTTTAATCTTACTAAAATTTGGTTAAATTTTGCAAAAATATGTATAATTTTAACAAATATAACTAAATTTTTTCCCAAATCTAGGATATTTAGGATATTTTTGTTATTTGCTATAAAATTACAACTAAATATAACTAATATTTTTGGATATATAATTTTTATTTCCGGTTTTCGGATATCCTTTCGGTTTTCGGTTCGGATCGGGTTCGGTTCGGGTAATTCGGATAGGAGAATTCATTATCCGTTCGGATTTTGTGACTATTCGGTTCGGGTTCGGTTCCGGATTTTTCGGATCGGAAAATATAATTTTAAACCCGAATCTATTGTTTTTCAGAGATGGACCAGATCAGTCCGCAGGATTTGACCCTAATAAACATGCCTAAGAATATCTATTAATGATCCATCAAAGTCCACTTATCCAACAAGCTTTACCAAAGAGGTTTGAACAAAATCAAATGAACCTGAAAACAATATTACTATATTACCCGTACAATCCAGAGTCCAAAACTCAAACTCATTCTCATTGGACCACAAACTTATAAAGATGAACAAACCCAACACAATAATTTTATTATATCCACTTTATGCAACTGTGCAAAAGAAATCTAATCATCATATTCCTGACCATTGAATGAAATGAATTGAGTTGCAGAGACAAAGATTATGCAACTTAAAACACAACCAAGGAAATTTGATATCACACGCCACCACATGGAAGGCAACACTTCTTGCCAATCTGAATAAAGAACCACTGTAACAGGTCTGGTCGATCATCTTCATCCTTTTTCTCAGACGAGGACTCGGGCAGTGGCAGCTCTGGTGGCAAATGCCTGTGGAATGCATCAACTGCTGCAGCTACACCATCCTCGTTCTCCAGTACTTTCGCTAGTTCCATCACTTGTGATTTTACCTGAAAGCATGATGCGCCTATGCGTTTTACAAGACTTGGGAAATTATTTAGAATCTTCATCATTTTTTTTTAACATTTTAGTATAGTGTTTTACTTGTACGTTTTAGTATAAATAAGGATGAGATCTCACATGTGAGACACATCAAAGCTCGAGAAAGCTTTCAAGGTTTTATGGGTTTTCGACGGAAGGAAAAGCTTTGAGCTTTGTTTATCGGCAGAAAGCTTTCAGTTTTGGGTTTGTTTGGTTCTTTTATAATAAAGAGAGCGTTTTGGTTTAACTTCTATTGTGATTCTTTACTCTACCATCCTATCTGGGCTTCAAAGATATATAAAAAGGGGAATCAAGTTTGTTTACCTCTGGTTGTAGCATGAATCTTATGGAACTACTGAGGTTCTCAACACTGAGCTGAGCTATCGGTATTGGCGCAGGACCAAGTCCTTTCTCATAGATCCTGTCACCCCAGAAGAACTGATCCCCAAAGAATGGCACGATCGTTGTTGGACACTGCAGACAAATGGAATTCAAAAATAGGAACCATTAGGTTTCATGAGGTCAAGAAAACAGATAAAGATTCCTTGGTGATAAGCAAGAAAGTAAGGTACTTATATGTAAAATTAAAATGCTTTACCCCAGCTTTTAGTCCAGTCGCTGTGGTTCCAGCACCGCCATGATGAACCTTCATATCCACAACACAAGAAGCAGCCTCAATTAGAAGATAGTTCTTCGGAGCCCTGAATGTAGTAATATATAGAAATTCTAAAGAGGGCTTACCACAGCTGAACACTGAGGAAACAACCAATCGTGAGGACAGTCCTCCACTAAGAATACATTTTCAGGAACTTCAGTAGCAACTGCAAAATGTTAGTTGGTAAAAATGTATCCTGAATCCGTAAAAGCAAGCAGAAAACCAGTTCAGTAGACAGAGCCTCAAAACAGAAGGTACAGAGGCTGCTTACGGTTTCCAAGGCCACCCCAACCTCGATCAACTATCCCTCTCTGTTCTGTATCTCTCAGTGTTTCCAATATAATGTCCATTGTTTTCTTTGGATCATCAAGAGGCTGGTTGTGTAAAGGAAAAGAAAAAACAAAGCAACAATACTGTGAGCTGAAGCTAGCACATGATCAGTTAAACAAACAAGAAGGACCAGGACTATAATATGTGGAGATAAATATATCGATCATATACAGTATAACTTGTATGATGCACTTTAAGTTGATACAAGTTTTATGCTGCAAGTCTAAGAATTCAATTTAACCAATAATACCAAGATCCATTGTCAATACTATGCCTTATCACTGAATATTACCAAAGAAAGGAACAAATTTTCTGACTATTAAGGGTCTTCCGCTTACCATGCTTCCAAAACCAATATATATGGGCGGTGATCCTCTTTCTATCCAGTGGAGAAACTCTTCGCGAGGCTGGTACTTTGATCCAAGGTTCAGGAAACAATAGCCAACAACATCAACTAAAGGACCCCAATCTGTAAATTAGTCGAACAAAAGCAAAACCTTTCAGATATCTATTAAATAAAAAGAGAAAGAACTCGGACTAAAAAAAATATTACGCGTCCAAAAATTGGCAACGCGGTATGGTCTTGCATAGCTTTAAGAAGAACATAAGCTTAGAGACCAGAATAAAGGTACAATGCAAATTGGTAGCAAGGAAACATATAATAAACCTCAGCGGAATAGATGTACGAGGAATAAACAATGCAAAGTGCTCTTACCACTTGGTTTTGGCACAACATGGGGACTCCACATGTAACCAGTAGGCAAGTGCGAAATTGAGCCATGGTATGTGCTAAAATATGCGATAGGTGCAAGGTTTAGCTTCCTCTTCCTAAAATCATTTATATATGTCCTTATGCTCCACCATACCATCAGATCAACAACTATATACGATAGCTGAGACAAGAAAATGTTTTAAAAGAATCAGCCTCATATTCCTTTTAATCATATCAAGATGGTGGATAGTCATAAGAAAGAACCAGTTATGATTGCATTGTAAAATATTACCCAATACGCAGCACTTTGAGGAACACGTGCCAAAGGGTGTGGAAATTCATGGGTTGGCCTGTCTACATGAAGAGGACGTAAGAAAACAAGACAACATAAAACACGTTAAGTCAGGTGCACCGAGCCTGAGATTAAAAAGCAAAGAAGTCAACTCACGTCCAAGGCATTGTGAAAAAAATGTGAATTGGTACTCCAAGAGCTTCGGCAACATGTACATGTCCTGCAATTAGAACCAAAACCATATCATCATCTTCATAGGAGCAATGAAAACAACCTGGTGAATGAAGTGTTGAGGAATCAACAAAATTGTGAAGTGGTGAGGGACTTACCATATGCAGGAGGATTTGCAATTATCGCTTGAGCTCTGAAAGAGGTAGCAGTTTCCATATCAGGCTCTATGCATGCCGGAAGAAGAGACTCTATAATTGCCTTCAACTGTTTTCTCTGTTTTGATATTTCTGAAGGCCCAGAAGGAATGAGACCTTTATTTCTAGCCATATCTACATTCAAAAATACCCATTACTTTCATTTTAATCATACGCAAATGAAGAAATTTTCTGACAGCTTAACTATGTTTCCATATTAGGCTTACATGCAGCTAACTCTCGGGGATCACCACCCAAGGGATAAAACTCTACTCCGGCAGCCCGTACAAAAGAGCGGAAATTTGCATGAGTTGCCAACCTAACACGATGACCAAATTCCTGCAACGAGAAAAAAAAAAAAACACCATATAACTTTAACCTTACTCAATGACAATGACCAATCCGTTCAAAATGTCTCAATAAATGCTTAAAAAATATTGGGATCCCTAGCTCTAGGGGAAATGAGTCAAGAACATATATGAGAAAGAGATGAAGAAATCAAACTAAATTAAAAAGACGGAACACATGGTATAGCCGTATAGGGCCTATAGGCACATGCCAATACTTGGATAGAGCCTATTTATTTGCAGCATACTATATGCAGCCACAAAAAAAATTACATATTTAATGGCACAATGCTTCCCTCTATTAATCTCAAGTTCGCAATATCATACAAGGAATGAAAAACACTATAAACATATACCTGGAGGCGCTTTGCCATGGCCAAAAAAGGCTGCACATCACCTCTAGTTCCAACGACAAGTATAGCAATTTTTAACCTTGGAATGGATCTAAAGGACTCAGTAAAGGACATTTCATATGTGATTGTGGACTGCCCTTTCATTGGCTCAAACTCCCATAACTCCGATACCGGAGTTCCGTTATCTATAACTTCCACTGTCCCGTCATTTTGTATTCTGACTAGCTCGACAATGAGTTTTTGCTGGAAGTACACGATCAAAAAGAAATCATGAGAATATAATAATGATTTCAGTGTACCGCATTTAAGAAACATATCCTAGTGACTCTAACAGCACAAAAAGAGAATCTTCACTTGCTCATATCCAAGATAAATACCATGATGAGGCAATTGGAAAAAATAACCACTAACAAAATGTATGTGGATAAAATGTTCTTCTTAAGTTCTTGCTCCATTGCCATAGAAACAACTGGATACATAGGGTTTAGTCTCCTACCTTTTCCCGCTCCGATAATCTATCCAATTTTAGATTATGATTTGCAGGAGATCCTTTCTCTGTCAAGGACCGAGAGTACTGAATCTCACTGTCATCGATAAGCATATCTCCACAGAAACCAACAGGTGCAGTTTCACAGTGGTCTAGTCCTTCAAGAACATACAATCTTGAATCAGTGGTTATCCTCTGTTTCAGAATCAGATGAAAGCAATCATTGCTTTCCGTTCAAATACTGGGAACAGGACGGAGAAATTAACAAATGGACAAAGTAAGTTAGAGCTCCAAAGTCGAAATTTTGGTGGAAAAGCTTTGATGAATCGTTTAGAAACTGCAATAACAAGGTTAAATAGAGGACTAACCCCTACGCCAATCAGAAGAACGACGACCAGAATCTTCAGGAGTAGTATCTACAGAACCAGGTGTTTCCAATAAACTCGCCTTCTCGCTATTTACACCATTATCTTCATCAGAATCATCCTTTCGAGACCCGATCCCATCCTCTAATTTTTGTAGTGGATGATCAAATATATTACTCGCCATTAACTATTTTTGTAGTTAACTAAACAGCTCTCACTGCCTAATACCCACACAATCAGCTGCAGCAACAAACCACCTACATATGGATCAAACTCCACAAAGGAACATCCATACACACTCACAAGAATTTCACTATTCAATCATAGAGATGCTAATAGCTCTCCTGGCAAATGCTGAACACAGACGAATCAAAGCTTGAAGCAACGACCAGTCAATCCTTTAGGTGCAGAAAGTTAGCTGCACTTTATATACCAAAATCCAAAAAGAAGAATCAAATTAATATTATAAAGAAATCGAAAAATCGGGTTTTTTGTTTCTTCTTATCTAAACCGTTTCATACAAAACGAGAAAATGCAAGAGAACATCAGGTCTCACGTTTAGAGCGAGAATGAGATTACCCATCACGAAAGGATCAAGCTTTACTTGTAAAACTCAAACAACAACACAATTCAAAAGCAATTACACAGAATTGAATCAAAATCAAGAAAGAAACACAATGTCCTAGTAGAATGCAACAATTGAATCTACCAACATCGAGGGTTTCATCAACAATGGACTAAATGATCGAAAGATTGTTCCTTTACCTGAGTGAATTGGAGAGAAGAGTTCAAGAATTGGAAAAAGAGAGAATTGATTTGTGGGTATCTCTGTGGAAGCAAAGATTTGTGGAATTGATGAAGAAAAACTTGAGAAGATTCCAAAGGGTTTGGAGACTTTTGAATCAACCAAATGTGGTGAGACCGCCGATGAGATATTTATTAATAATTGCAGAAAATAAATATCATTGAATTCATTATTATTAATGCCACCGAAACAAAATTAATTGATTAGGAATTTGGAGTTGTTTTAAGTCACTGTTACTACGACTTTTCGTTGAAAAAATGATATGTATTCTTTCTCCTTAAGCTAAGAGGAAAAATAGAGAAAATTAATGTTGTTGTTCTAAACAAATTTTTGGGCAACTAGTTGATTAATTTTATAGAGAACATCAATTTTTTTTGCAGGATTTTGGAGGCAAATTAAGTCACTTCATCTTTCGTTAAGATCTGGCATCTATGTGTTGTGTGATATTTTTGCCTTTTTCGTATGAATAACATAGTAAGAACGGTTTACAAAATTACAAATATGGTTGTTGTAGTAGAAATTGATACAATGATATTAACTAACCCCAAAACATGTAATTATCATATATATAATGAGATGATTTTTTCTCTTCTTATAATGTCTGGCATGTTATAAAGTATAAACATCCAATTAAGACAAACTATGTCATCAAGTAATTGTGGGATTACAGAACCGCTTCATATCACATTTGTAAACAACATTCCACAGGAATGACTCTTTTGAACTCTAATTAATTTCGGATGACAAAAAAAAAAAAGTAATTGTGGGATTTATGATTTTATCATATCATACTAATTTTATAATTAACGCTAAAGTTACACATTAGTTTCTAAAAAAATATACTACAAAGAGTTTTAGTTATTACTCCCTCCGTTTCACAAAGAGTGTCGTTTTAAGGTTTTAATCTCGTTTCACAAAGAGTGTCGTTTTGTGTTTTCAATGCAGTTTTAAAGACTAATTCTCTTTTTTATCCTCTACTATTTTAGCTTATTAATTAGAGAGAGTGTATTATTTAGTGTATTAATAAAGGGTATAAATGAAATTTGTTTACTTTTCTTAATTTGTGTGAAAAATGCTAGAATGACACTAATTGTGAAAGAGAGGGAGTATTAAATTTTCACTTAAGGAAAAAAAAAGATTTGTAAACTCAATTTAAAATTTATATATAATTAGATAATGTTATAAACCATATGGATGGACTCCATAACCGGCCCATGGCCCATTAGGGTTTTACCTTATTCTCTGTATCCTGCTATTATCCTTGTATATATATCCCTTATTCTATTAATGAAAGACACAGTTCACAACACGTTATCAGCACATAAGCTCGGAAAAAAAAAAAAAAAAAAAAAAAAAAAAAAAAAAAAAAAAAAAAAAGCCTTAACCGTCTGAGCTAAGAAAATCCTAATCACTTAGAACTAAAAGTTCTCCGATCTTTCCAACACCGTCTCCGTCCAGTTTGCGTTTCCGATGTCGTCTCCTTCTTTATTCTCAGAAACCATAATCATCGAGCTAAGTCATTGTCCACCATATTACTTAGATTCGATTGATTCATGTTTAATATATTACATAGTACATAATTGTTGTTGACGGAACTTTATATAGATCTACACATGCATTACTTAATCTTATTTAAATGGAAATCTTTTTGCTTCATCTATAGTAACTAGCGATCGACACATATGATAGAGAACACATGTTCGTTACATGGGCTTTATTTTCTTAATCTTATTGCTTCAAATTCTATTGCTTTATGGTTTGATATAATAAGGCATTAGAATGGCATGTTCTTAAACACAAGTTCGTTACATTAGAATGTTAATTCTCAAAGACATAATTATTATTTTATTGTTTATTATATTATAAAATCATACATGCGTATATATGGTCATTGTTCTTTTGATCAATTTGAATTATTATGTTTATTTTTTGGAATCTGGGCTTTCAAGCAACATTAGTAAATATTTAATCGTTACTTTAGTTAATCGATGATTTGAGTCCTGAAATTTAAATTTACTTTGATGCTTCATCATGGTTGAATCATAGATTTTACTCATGTTCATATATTGGTTTATCATTGATTATTGCTTTAAGATCTTACCGAAACCTGTTTGTTTATTGTTTCGACAATTGTTTGATCTCTGATCTTTTAATGTTTTATCATTGATTATTGCTTTAGCCATGTTTCCATGAGCAAAATTTTGAGTTTCTCAGGAATCAGGATTATATATATTGAGATTTTGTAGCAGGTCCCAACCAGCTAAGAGACATAACTGTTTCCAATTTCCGTATCAGATCTCGGGTCTCTGTTTCAGTTCTCCAATTAAGATAAGTGCTATTTATTTATTATGCTTTATATACATGATCCAATTAAAGTTTGATAAGATAAAATTTGCATGAAAATTGGCACATGTGATTTGATTTATGATTGGAGAATTAATTGAGAAGTTAGTGAATGGAAAGATGTTTAATGCATGGCATGATAGATTGAATGTTTTAATATAAACCCTAGGTTAAACCGAAAGTAAACCGAAACCCTAAATCCAAGGTTAATCCGGTTTAATAAACCCTAAGTTACGGTTTAAGATCAAGTTTCCCATATAAGGAAAGTTTCCATAAATAGAAAATCTCCATAAATAGAAAGTTCCATATAAGGAAAGTTTCCAGAAATATAAAGTTTCGTAAAATAGCAAGTTTCCCAAAATAAAAGGTTTCCTAAAATAGCAAGTTTCCCAAAATGGAAAGTTACCAAAATAGGAAACCCCTTCATAATGAAATATTCCAAAACCCTAAAGTACACGTTTGTTTAGGATTTCTTTCTAGATGAGAAATAGAAAGTTTCCATATAAGGAAACTTTCCATAAATAGAAAGTTCCACACATAAAACCGAAACCCTAGCAAAACCCTAGTACTATAAATCGCGGATGCTAAAACCCTAAAACTTAACCGCGAAATCCTAATATCCTAATCTAGTATGATCCGATTGTTTGGTTGTTGCATACTAGATCAATCTTCTAGGGTTGATTTCATCCATATATATATAACATGATTGTTTAGAAAACACTTGCTGAAGACAAGCATGGCTCGGTCTTAAATACCGCATGACTTGGTCTAACCGATTACATGAGTTCTCATTTAACACTATATATTATAGATATCAGAAATCAACTATTATGAATACACGGCACTTAATGCCTCTGGTGACAATTATTTACAATGGGTTTTGGACACTGAGATTGTCCTAAAGGAAAAAGGGCTTGGTGAATCTATTGTGGAAGGAAACAATGTCACGAGAAGAGAAAGATATAAGGCGATTACTAACATACGCCATCACCTCAATGAGAGTCTCAAAATCAGTACCTCACTATTAAGAATCCTCTGGACCTCAGGACAGAGTTGAAAAAAAAAAAAAAAATCAATATAACCACCAAAGAACGGTGCTATTAGCCAAAAGCCCGATTTGATCGGAAGAATCTCAGATTCCAGGAATTCAAATCCATGAATGAGTATAATTCAGCACTATTTAAAATAGTGTCAATACTGAGATTCCGTGGTGAGGAAGTTACTGAGAATGACTTGCTAGAGAAAGCATTCTCGACCTTTCACACAAACAATATATTGCCTCAGCAACAATATCGTGAAAAAGGTTTTTACCACATATGCAAGTCTAAACTCCTGTTTTGCTACTTGGTGAGCAAAACAATGAGTTATAAATAGTGAAATGAGACCTCCTGGTCCTACCCTATTATCAGAAGCCCGTTGGGCTGAAGAGCCTAAAGAGCCTAAAGAGACTAAAGAGTCTAACCACGTCCAAAGAGATAAGTATCATGGCCACAGTCATGGTAAATGGAATGGACATGGTAGAAGTGGCAATTATAATTTATATGATCAAGGAAACCATTCATATGGTTAAGGCCGCCGACCCGACTTTGGTCGTAATCGAGGTAGAGGCCGCGGTATACCCAAACCACAACACTCAAATAAACTTGTTTGCCACTGATAAGGAATGGGGAAACCATTGGACTAAGACGTGCAAGACACCTAAGCATCTCGTAGATCTCTATCAAGAGAGTTTGAAAAGAATCTAGAAGCTCATTTAGTTCATCATTATGAGAATTTAATAAACGAAATATCTAAAAACATGGTTTATTAGCCAAATTGCGGGTATAGCTAAATTTAGTGAAGGCTAAGGGCAGGCCCATGGCAGGCCCATATTCCCAAGGGCACGCATCCTCAGATGCTTCATATTCACCCAGCTCAAAGGGGCTTGTTGAGTTTCAAAGAAATGTGTTTGAATGGTTTCCACATTGAAACTAAGGGTGAAGGGAACAAAGGATTCCCATATATTACTAAGAACACCCAAGACCATGAGAAGGTCTTAGAAACTATACCCGCGTCATAGATCTTTACTATGCTAAGGTCAATATGATAAAGGCTAATAAAGTAAACAAATAAGGGTTTACTGAGAAATTCACTAATGGCATGATCGGCTTGGCCAGCCCGGTTCGAATATGATGCGTAAATTAATTCAAAGTTCTAAAGGGCACACCCTTAAAGAAAACCGAGTTTTCCCTAAGCACCACACGTGCATAGCCTGTTCACAAGGGAAGCTTATCACTCGACCTTCACCAGTCAAAGTGTCTAAAGAGACCTTACATTTTCTAGAACGACTTCAAGGAGACATATGTGGTCCGATCCATCCACCTTGTGGAACATTTCGGTACTTCATGGTTTTAATCGATGCATCGACCCGCTGGTCGCATGTTTGCCTATTGTCTTCTAGGAACCAAGCATTTGTTAGGTTATTGGCCCAAATGATCAGATTGCGAGCCCATTTTCCAGATTTTCCTCTTAAGACCATACGTTTAGATAATGCTGGTGAATTCACTTCCCAACCATTTAATGACTATTTTATGGCCATGGGGGTAAGTGTGGAACATCCTGTGGCACATGTCCATACACAGAACGGATTAGCTGAATCCCTCATTAAACGAAATCAACTAATTGCTCGACCATTACTCATGAGGTCGCAGCTTCCGGTCTCAGCTTGGGGACATGCAGTTTTACACGCTGTTGAATTAATACGCATTCGGCCATTTAGTGAACATAGATATTCCCCATCCCAATTGCTAACGGGTCATGAGCCAGACGTTTCCCATCTAAAGACATTTGGGTGTGTCACCTATTTACCCATAGCACCACCACAGAGAGCAAATGATGGGACCTCAAAAGGGGATGGGAATATACGTTAAAAATGATTCTCCCACCATCATTAAGTATCTCGAGCCAAAGGCCAGATTCAAGGATTGTCATCTCAATGAATCCGTTTTCCCAACACTGGGTGGAGAGACTAACAAGCTGGTCAAAGAACTTACATGGAATCAAACATCCTTCACATGGCAAGATCCTCGGACTCCATCAGAGATCCAAAAGACTATATATCTGCAAAAGCTAGCTAAAACAATTGCCAAGATTCCTATAATGACCCAAAGAGAGTAACAAAATCGTACATACCAGCTTGTAATGCACCAGTACGTATTGATGTTCACAAGGAACACAATCAAGTTGCTACAGAGGCTACAACACGTAAG